TATCTCTTCTAGATCAAAATCTCTCTCCAATATTCTTGCCGACTCTTGGTTCAGCCTAGGCCATTCCAATCCATCCACAAAGGTTCCCACATTAACTTGTCTTTTAAACACGGATTTAAAATGATTGACAAAACAGTTGGCAATCTCTTCTTGTTCTTGATCAGTCAATGTTTCTCCGTTCACTTCTAATTTCTCACATATTTAAAATGATTGACAAAACAGTTGGCAAACTCTTCTTGTTCTTGGTCAGTCAATGTTTCTCCGTTCACTTCTAATTTCTCCACAAAATTTTTCCTCCTCTACCATTAGCAAGTGCATGGAAGAACTTAGTATTGCCATCCCTCTCTTTAATCCATTGGCGCCTCGATTTTTGTCTCCAACATGTCTCTTCCCTTAGTAAAGTTTCTTCCAATTCTTTTTTCAAGGACCATCTCAAGACCTTGTCTTCCTCTCTTATCAAATCTTGACTCTCCTTATCATCTATCTGCTTTATTAGAGAGGTTACCAATAATTTCTTTTCCTCAATTCTTCCAAAATGTTCTTTGTTCCACTCTTTGATTTCACTTTTAAGCCTTTGTAAATTTTTTGTCAAATTTAACCCCTTTCCAAAACACTCCCCTCAATTCTGTTCCCCACCGGTCCTCCACATTGTGAATGAAACTCGAGTGTGTCAACCACATGTTTTCAAACCTGAAAGGTTTGGGACCACTCAGTGTTTTAAAAGTGCAAGGGCCAATTTGCGCCTGAGGCGTAAGGCGCAAAATTACAAAAAAAAGCTAAAAAATTAAAAAAAAAAGTCAAAAAATGCCAAAAAAAATTAAAAAATGCAAAAATATTAAAAATATAAACTTGAAGTTTAAAATAAATGATTTAAAAAACCTATTATCTAAAATTAAAATACATAAACATAACATGTAAAGTGTATTCAAATGAAAATTTAAAAAAAAAAGCAAACATATAAAGCATTTTCAAGCATGTAAAACCCGCAACCTCTTTTCCTTAATTGCATTACTTCAAGTAGTTAATGTGATCTAAAACATATTGCATTCTTGATTCTATGAGTCGCCTTTGTAGCATCCCCCTCGAGGCAAGCCCGAACAAGTCTATGTGAGAAATAAGAATTTCAGACACTAACATAGACTTGTTCGGAATTGCCTCAAGGGGCGTGGTCGAGGGTTCGAGGGCGGAGCCCCCGGCCCAACCATTAGACTCAAAAAACAGCAAAAAGCGCGCACCTGGGCAGAGGCGTAGGGCGCATCAGGCGCACGCCTAGGCGCACCAAGCGCGCGCCTTTTGAAAGAGGTGCGCCTAGGACCTGAGCGAGGCGCATACCCCAAAATGCGCTTCACATGTGCGCCTAGCCGCGCCTTTTAAATCACTGGTAAAACCCATAATCTCTTTTTTTCCTTAATTGCATTGCTTCAAGTAGTTAATGTGATGTAAAACATATTGCATTTGTTATTCTACGTCGCCTTTGTAGCATGGCCCTCGAGGCAAGACGCACGCCTGGGCTAAGGCGCACCAGGCATGCGCCTTTTGAAAGAGGTGTGCCTAGGACTTGAGCGAGGCGCATACCCCAAAATGCGCCTCACCTGTGCACCTAGGCATGCCTTTTAAATCACTGGGACCACTTGAGAAATCTTTAGTACCAATTAATGTTTTAAAATGTGGAGGCATTACGCGAGGAGTTCCACTACCTAGAGGCATGAGGCGTAGTTCAGAACGCAAGAGGCATAAGCCTCCCAAACACAAGGAGGCGTAAGCCTCCTTAAGAGGAGGGGGTTAGGAGGAGGAAGGAGAGGAAGGGGGGATCTCATTTTTTCTTTATTTTAAATAAAAAAAAATCTTTTATTTCCTTCCCTTCCCTTTTCTTTCCTTTTCTCCTTTTTTTCTTCTCTTTCTTTTTTTAATATAAATCTTTTATTTTTAATAAAAATATTTTTTTCTTCTCTTTCTTTTTCTTTCCCTTCCCTTTCTTTTCCTTTCCTTTTTTTCTTTTTTTCTGTGTTTTTATATAAGATGTGCATGAGGCTCATGAGGCGTACGCCTCAAGCACGCCTCATGAAAAAAGCACATGAAATGTATGTCTCTTACACTGAGGCGTATGCCTCATAGGTGTCAGCGCCTCTAGCATATGCCTTAGGGCGTTTTGGGAGCACCTTGCCTGGACTCCAAGCGCACGCCTCCCACACCTTTTAAAACACTAGTACCAATACTGATTGGGCAGTGGTTAGAGGTAACTTACGGTAAAGCTCTTGCCAACAGTCCTATCCAATGTTCTTCCCATTCAATATTAAATAAAAACCTATCCAATTTTGAGTAGTTAGGGGGGGACTTGTAAGTTAGACCAAGTGAACACACTCTATTGAGTAAGTATTTCCTTAAGCTCACAAAACTCAATGAACTCGTTAATTTCCTTATACTCGTAGAGACTAGCTGGTTGGGGTTGTTTGTCTCACTAGAAAACCTAACCACATTGAAATCTCCACCTAAGCACCAAGGCGCATTCCATAATGCTCTAATATCACAAAGCTCCTCCCAAAATTCGCTTCCCTGTCTATATCTATTGGGACCATAAACATTCGTCAACACCCAAGTTCTTGAGCTTTAAGGATACCAAGAATCGGCCTATTAACTCTTCTAGTGACTCCACCTCCTTCCTCCACAATGTTACAATGCCCCCTGAAGCTCCCCACAACGGTACAAAGGACCAGCCTATGCCTCTAGAAATCCATGAACTTCTTACCCATCTCCTATCCATCTTGACCACTTTTGTTTCTTGTAACATCACTATATCAGTATTCTCCTTTCTAAGTAAATTCTTTATTACCTCCTTTTCCTACCACTGCCCAGCCCCTAACATTCCAACTTATTATCTTCATGTCAACTTGAATCAAGAAGACCCCTAGTCCACTCTTCCCTCTACTTCTTTCCCTTCCTTCTATCCCCCCTTGCGCTTAAACTCCAAATCCTCTGCTACATCAGAATTCAGTCTTTCCACCTCTATTTGTTTCTTTTTCTTTGAGCTTCCTTCCCCCCCCCCTTCTTTTTGGAGTACATTTTAACGTCCTTTAATTCTTTCAACTTCAACCCTATCTTCCCTACTAAATCGACCACGGGTTCCCCTCCATTCTCCCTAAGCTCCCCAGTTACATCCCTCTCCGGCTGAAAGCCTTCTTGTTTTCCCAGTCCATCTACAGTAGTATTTCCTGCTTCTTCCTTTCTTACCAGATCTTCAAATGAGCCACACACTAACTACCAAATTTTCTCTCCATAAACCCTCCAGTCATCTTCCTCCTCCCTCCCTACAACTCTACCTTCCAGCTCCCTTCCTACAACTCTACCTTAATTCTTTCAATGTCCTTAAATTCTTTCAACTTCAACCCCTACAAGAGAAGAAAGGGGTTCAGACCAGATAAAGGGAATTTGGGGTAACCCAGTCCCCCCAAGGGTAGAAGCATTCGCACGGCTGGTAGCTCATGACAGCATTCTCACCTCTGATCACCTGAAATCTAGAGGTTTTCATCTTGCCAACTGGTGTCATATCTGTAATCAGGAGGAAGAAACAGTTTTCCATTTGTTCTTTTCATGCTCAATAGCAAGTTCCATATGGAAGTTCTCTTTTCTGTTTTGGGCAAGTGGGTTCAATCCATCGACTTCAGCAGAAATATTCTCTTTGTGGCCAAAACTCAGAGGCAGTAAGATAGCTAGGATGATGTGGAGTTGTGTCCCTTTTGCAGTATGTTGGTCTATATGGAGGGAGAGAAATAGAAGAGTTTTTGAGAATAGATAAACAACATTGAATACATGGTAGCTGCAGTGACAAATATGATTTCAGAATGGGTTCTCAGACTTCCAGATTTTGATCAAGTATCTAAGGCAGATTTGTTGGAAATTTTCTGGAATACCCTTGAATTACAGCCTTGAAATGTAGAATCATTTTTAATTTGAAGTTTTGCGAATGTATGCGGTGTGTCATCTAGACAACCAAGGATGTTAGGATGTAACTCTTTTTCCTTTTAATGAAATTATTTCTTGATTTTTCAAAAAAATAATTGCTGCCCCTGCACAATGCTACAGCTTCTTCCATCTTATTGCAGAAATAGTACAACCGATTTGAGAACAACTCCATTTCCAAAAGTGTGCTCCAAGTAGCTCCAAAAACATTATAAATGATAGATCCACAGCCTTGTTGTAAAGGGGGGGGAGGGGGAGAGAGAGAGAGAGAGAGTATTTAGTCTTTCTCTGTTCGGAGTCAATGTTTTAAAATGCGGAGGCGTGACGCAAAGCCTTCCATTACTAGGGGGCGTGAGGCGTGGTTCCAGAACACAAGAGTTAGGAGGTGGAAGGAGGATCTCATCCCGTTTTTCTTATTTCTTTTATATGAAAGAGGTCTTGTATTAAGAAAAATGAAGATGCATAACACTAGCCGAAAGAGGGGTCCTGTTGAGACCCTAGGCAAGCCTCTAAGGGTGCATTGTTGCCTAGGTGTCGCCTTGATCACTATGTGTCTGCCCCTTCATTTATGTTTGCTTGGTTAAGCCCCTAAAATGTGGAGAAAATCTCTTCATTTTCTCCACATTTATGTGTCTGCCCCTTCATTTCAGAGGACATAAAAATTGTTTTTCCTCTTTGTACAGGTTTGTTCTTGCAGTGTCATTTTAACTATCTATTCACTTTTTTTATTCAGATTTATTTATCTATTTATTTACTTTTTTTGGCAGAGTTCAGGAGAATATTAGCTTAAGCATTTCAGATAAGCCAACCCTTAATAGCTAAGATTTTAGTCCAAAAGACCCTTCTCTTCCTTTTCTCTATTCTCCTAAATATTAACAAGGATGAAAAACAATAAAAGTTACAAATATTTCTATTATAATTTACATAAACAAGTCCTATGGTTGGCTGATGAAATGAATGGAAGTCCACAAAGAAACAAGGTAAACAACAGGAACAGCATCCAACCACATTTCAAAGTAAATACCAGAATACAGTTGATGTACCTGTATGGTATGTGCTTATGAGTTTGAAGATCCCTATATTTTTTTGCAAGGCCATAGTCAATGATGTATMCCTGCCATTAACAGCAAAACAACAAAGGAAATTAAGTATTTTATATTAAGAAGAGGAAGGGGGATCTCATTTTTTCTTTATTTGTAATAAAAATCTTTTATATTAAGAAGAATAAAGATGCATAACATTAGTTGAAAGGGGGGGTCTTGTCGAAAGGGGGGCAAACCACTTTCCTTCCCCTTATCTTTTATTCTCTTCCCTTCTCTTTTTTTCTTTTCTTTCTTTTTCTTTCCCTTCCCTTTCTTTTCTTTACCTTTCCTTTTTTTTTCTTTTTTCTTTTTTTGTCATTTTTATAAGATGTGCACGAGGCGTACACCTCTAGCATGCCTCATGAAAAAAGCGCACGAGGCGTACACCTCTAGCACGCCTCATGAAAGAAGCGCATGAACGCCTCAGAGGTGTCAGCGCCTCTGGCATACGCCTCAGGGCGTTTTGGAAGCGCCTCCAGGCATACACCTCCCATGCCTTTTAAAACACTGCCTGTATGGTATGTGCTTATGAGTTTGAAGATCCCTATATTTTTTTGCAAGGCCATAGTCAATGATGTATMCCTGCCATTAACAGCAAAACAACAAAGGAAATTAAATATTTATACATAGAGAACCCCTGAAACACATATCTGACCCCCCAAAGCTAATTCTTTCTTTTATTTTTCTTCTCTTTATAGCTCAAAAAGTTTTTAACAATCCAACTCTCACATTAATATCAAGAACTTTAAAGCACAAGCAAAATCTGATCACAACTTTGACACCATATGACATAAAATATGATACTGTTTTAGCAGTCTTTCTCCCTTAAGTCAAATGGCAACCCAGGTAATTCAGATGAAAATCTTAAGTAAACAGAGCCCCGTTAAGTTTCAATATGATCAGATTTATAAATAAGCATCTCCTGTAAAATATAAGCAACACCACATCCCCCCTAAAGCCTAAACTTCCATTTCTCCTACCTGTTGTCTCTCCTTTCTTGACCCTTCCTCTAAGAGGTTTTTGAGTAACAAGCACATAATTTCTACTAGAATTCCTAGGATTTTATCATCCACTTGATGAATTGATTTTAGAATATAGCACATTTCTATTATAACAAGTTGTTCGAATGGACCTCCCATTCTTGTATCAAGCATTCTGCTTTTTCCCAGATAATCAGGTTCAGATACCCATAGATTCATTGTTTGCTTACTGGATTTATACAAGTCAGAAAACACTACTTTTCTTGAAGCCCCTCTTGTCCATCGGGCAAGCTATGAAACCAAGGAAAATGAATACCAATTTTAAATTCAGTGCAAGTTTACAAGATTATTTGCCTAATTCGCCAACATTAAGGTAATTTATCTTAAATTTTATTTGACCTTTCAAAATGGCTTACAAAAAGCTTCTAGTGGAAAAGAAAATTTTATGAAGAATATTTCGTTTTGGTCATTTTAGAATGATTGCAAAGAAAAAGGTAACAGCGTCTTTCAACATAAAGCAAGATTGGCCACATCTTCCTAGTTGATCTCTCAGTAAGCCCCAGGTCAATCTTTTGTTATCATGGTGGCAACTAATCAAACTGACATGGATAATTTTTAAGGTGATAACAGTAGCAGAACAGGCTCCACTTAATTGTTTCAATTTTACATGCTTTATGGTAAGGAGCATTTATTACCAAGAAACAACAAATAAAAAAATAATACATGCATACTGAGAAAAATCAAAGTAAAGGCATGCAAAGGATAGGAAAAACCCACGTAGAAAAGGCAGAAGGAAAAAACAAATGAGCATGAATGAGGACACTTATGAGTCACTCCAACAGGCAATAGAAAAAAGACTCATCAGAAACATTTAGAGACATAGTACAACTAGCTAAGATAGTGAAAACCATCTTTTTTGGTAGAAAAATAAAAATTTATTAAAAGAAAAAGAAATTAGAAGAAAGGCTAACATAAGTCACCAGAGAGAAGAAAGAGAAAACCCTTCACCCACCACAAACTCCAAACCCTTAACATTACAACCAAAATTCAAAACAACCATTCAAACCCAAAAAAGACAATTAAAATTCTGCCTACCTACTCCTCCCAAAAACAAACTACTTACCCAACTCCAAACCCCCCAACAAGCAACAAATAATGAAAAAAAAAAAACACTAGACTCCAACTTAACACTTCACCAAAAAAAAAAAAATGCTCAATTACTCATCAAAACCAACGCTTTGAATGGGAACTTCTTTGCTCTTCTCACAAACCTTCTTTGCTTCTTCACCTTCTTGTCAGGCCCAACACAAAAATAAACACTCTTCCAATCTAGAGAAAACTTTCAAAGCCTAAACCGTTTGATGGGTTTTCACAATTTTACAATGTCTAACACAATTAGGAATCTTCTTAGGAACCTGAAGGTCATTCGAGCTAAGCATTGATCCTTTACTCCAATACCGCATTCTTTTCAAAAGTCTGTACTACATTCACCCCTCCATCCTCTTTATTGACATCCCCTGCCACTTCATGTGATCTCAAACTATCTTGAGCATCCCCTACCCCGAAGTTAAAACCATCTTCTTTTTCCAACTTATTTTTCTCCCTACCCTCTTAAGGCCCACTAAACTTTTCTTCATTTTCCTTGCAACCCCCCCCCCCAAAAAAATAAAAAATAGGCACAAAACTTCACTCACTAGTCACTTCCACTTCTTTATTCACCAGTCTCCACATCAATTGACCTTCCAATTACACGAGTTTCATCAACAACCCCAGCTGAGTCATTGTCTTCAAAAGCTTCATCTCCAATCCCATCATCCTTGTTTAATGGCCTAGTTGTATATTTTCTTTTCCTTTTATAAACTTCTGAAACGGGAACCCTACATGCTTTTCCTTTTACACACAGCTCCCCCACATCTTCACATTCATTTTCCTCATACCCAGAGCCCCACAGTCTAACTAGACCCACCCAAATTTGGTCCTCAATTTCTATTTCTTTTGTTATCACAAAAAACACCTTCCTCACACGCCCCACCTTTTCACCTCCTTCTCTACTTCCCTACCTCTCTGAATCTCTCATACTCCCACCACTTGAAGGAACATGAGCACAAATGCCCACATGTCATGTTCAACCAAAAACAACAATTCAAAGGTCCAAACTATTTTATTCATCATCCATCGAGGGCTGGCTCGTTGGTGTGTTAGCTGGTTTGTTCCAGTGTTGACATGGAATCAAATCCCGCAACCAGCACTTCAGGGAAAAGGGGGTCAGGGGGAAGTTATTAATGGTGCATAGCACCGAATACCAAAAAAAAAACTATTTTATTCATTAAAAAATGTCCAAACTATTTTTTGAAGGAAGCAAAAATGCACCAAGACCCCACCAATGAACTAGGCTGTCCATCCAGCATGATTATGGTATTGTCAAGTTAGAAAGCTGAGAAAAATCATTTTTGTCAAGTAGTTTCACCTCTACTCTGTTGATAGTGGGTTGGATGATAACAAAGATGATGGTTCAAGGGCATTCAGGCAAGTAATAAGGGAAATAAAGAGGCTAGTGGGTTAATAGCTCAGCAAATGCGTTAGCAATCGCCTTAGCAAAGCAACGGGTGACTAGGGAGCATCTCTTTTGAGCTAACTTGTACTCTTAAATCTTTTTGTTTGGCTCGGGCTGCGAGCTTGTAATAATACTACAGGATTATCCTAATTAATTCAAGTTTCTGATTATCCATAAAAAATATACTAATATACAGGTAATAAGATGTAGCTGGAACCAACATTTCGTAATGGCCTTTTTGGCAATAAGATATAGCCAAAGCAATAATATTACAGCAAGGCACTGACTTTGTATTTTTGTCACCTAGGTGATGATACCTTGACAAATTGTGTTCATCCCCAGTTATCGGTAAACTTCATTTAGCATGAAAGTTGAGTTTAATGTTCATCTTTGCAATTTTCTTTTCTTTCTTCTTTCCCAAGGGAAAATTAATCAAAAACACTTCTATTGCAAAAGAATAAAGGATAAAAAAAACAATACGGAATTGACCCCCAATAAAAGAGGACTGAAATAAATGGATAAAACAAAGTAGCCAAAAAGCTCTCAGAGACAAGACAAACCCAGCACCTATGGCAGTAAACACCCCAATGTATGGTTGTAACACCCTCTAGGCAAAGAAAATCAACCAGAATTTGCAAATATTTTTTTTATAAATACCAGAATTTGCAAATATTAGAATCAAGTGGAACTCATCAATAAAAAAATTATTAGAGTCCAGAAGAATGAAGAATTCAGTGTAGACACCAATGATTAGATGGCTGACACTGGTAGGGCTATCAATGGACTTCGAAAATTCAACATGCAATCTGTTGGATGTTAAAACCTGCATCCAATTAGTAACCGGATTATATGTGGATTTTACCCCATCTGATATGATAAAAAATCAAGTCGAATTATATGTAATACAATAATGCATATATAGATATTATATATAATATTTGGGTTCAACTATGATACGGAAATACATGATACTGGAAAAACTTACATCCAATTAACCGGTATCAAAAAAGAGGTGACCAATCAGGTGGTCTTCATCACAATTCACAGGGGTGCTTTAATTGGTCAAAGCTCTTCCAGTACCATGTCTTTTTGGTACCATAGATTTTCCCTTTATATTTATATATGATTTATATATGTATAACTTAAAAATAATTAATTTTTTCTTTATTATGTCTTTGAAAAAAGGAAAGGTAATTTTATTAAGAAAAAAGAGTAGGATACAAATAGGCCTCCAAAAACAGGCCCAAAACCCAGATTACATTACAACTCAAGAAGACTTCTAGAGTTCATCTGGGCTCCAAACTCCCTGGTTTGGAAACCTTTTACAGATGCAGTCCAAGAAACCACTTTTCCAAAGGAACTAGAAATGAGGCTGTCTTCTTTGGTCTTGTTATGGAACACTATATTATTCCTCTCCACGCAGATAGTGCTGATCACTGCTGCAGGAATTGATCTCCCACAGAGGAAAGATAGTGCTTCCATAAAGATCCAACATGGAAAGCTTTAAACAATCCCAGCACCATATCAGATCCAACACAGAATTTGGCATGGCCCAGGATACACCCACAGAGGAAAGATAGTGCTTCCATAAAGATCATCAAAAAAAAAAGATAGTGATTCCATAAAGACATCGAAACAGAACAGTGGAGGAACAAATGACTGTTGTCCTCTTTCTGCTGACCACATAACACACACCTTAAGTCCTGAATTTGCATTCCTCTCCTCAACAGGCTTTTCTTAGTGAGGCAAGAGCATTTACTTGGGTAGGGGCTGTCACATTCCAAATAGTAACAGCTGGAAAGTCAGGTCCCGTCACCTCCCAAAGGACCTTACATTAAATGATCCGTACTCCAGATCCAGCTCCAGCTATATTCTTCCAGCAGGTTTATGGTCTGATTGGATACCAGCTCAAACAACTCCCTCACTTGATTAATTTCCCAATCCCGGACGTTTCTTTTAAATGAGGGGCTCCAAATGATAGAGTTGTTTAAGACTTCACAGCAATAAGCCACCAGAGCATCCTGATTGTCAGCTAGGAGATACAACTGAGGAAACGACTGTGCCAAAGACCTTTCTGCACACCATTTATCTTTCCAGAATTTTAAATGCTGACCGTTTCCCACCTTCTGAACCGGACCCCTATTCAGCAAGGAGTACAAATCCATGATCTTCTTCCAAAGGGAGCACCCTAGGGAATTAACACTAGATCTAGTTATCCAGTCACCTCTGTCAGTGTCATATTTAGCTGCTACCAGTCTCCTCCACCAGCTATCCCTCTCTGTCCCAAACCTCCAGATCCATTTTTCAAGGAAAGGCTTCATTAAATATTTTCAGTTTTCTAATCCTCATACTTCATTTTCCTTTGGAAGAGCAAATTTGGTCCCAACTGACCAGGTGTGTTCTTTTTTCCTCACCCCAACCTTTCCATAAGAAATCTCTCCGGATTTTTTCCACCCTTTGGGCCACTTTTGTTGGAATAGGGAAGAGAGAGAAAATAAGAGATTAGATTTGAGAGGGAGCTTTCGAGGAGAGTGATCCTGCCTCCCAAAGTTAAATATTTGGCTTTCCAAGAAGCTAACTTTCTTTCCAGCATTTCCACCATCAGATCCCAAATCAAAGATGAAGTACACTTGGCTCCTAGAGGCAAACCAAGGTATATGGTAGGCAGGAAACAATTTGACAGGCCAGAACCTCATTTAGAGGTTCAAGATTCTCAATCCTGCCCACTGGAATTAGTCTACTCTTAGATCAATTTAYTCTCAACCCTGTTACCACTTCGAACCAGCTCAGAACCCCTAAAAGAATTCCAAGTTGATCTACTTCAGCATCAATGAAGCAAAGAGTGCCATCTGAAAACTGGAGCAGCTGGACTTTCTCCCCCCTGGACATGCTTCAAAGCCTTTCCACAAACCCAACTCGCCTACTTTGTTCACAAAAGTAGTTAAAATATCCATCACACAGATGAATAGAAGACAGGAAAGGCATCCCCTTGTCTAAGGCCTCTAGTACTTTTGAAGAATCATGCTGATTGACCATTCACTAAGACTGAAAATTTTGGAGAGGGAATGCATACCTTCATCCAGTTTCTCCATTTCTAACCAAAATCCATGCTCTCCAAAACAAAATCCAAACACTTCCAATTCACATGGTCGTAGGCTTTCTCCAAGTCTAGCTTACATAACAACCCCGGCCTACCCTCCCTCTTCCTTGAATCTATTAGTTCATTGGCCACCATAACACTGTCTAGCATTTGCCTGCCAGGGACAAATTCAAACTGGTTTTTTTATATTACTGAATCTATAAGTTTCTTAAGTCTTTCAGCTAGGACCTTCGCCAAAATCTTATAGCAACTGTTCAATAAACTGATTGGCTGAAAATCCTTAATATTTGTTGCAACTGTTCAATAAACTGATGCACAAAACTGATTTTTTTCTTTATTTTATTGAGAATAAGGCAAAGCCAGGTTAAATCCAAATGCAATCCGAGTCTGATATTTCGGATCGGATTTGGATTTAGAATGTTAATAATTGAATCAGATTCAGATGTAACTGGATCTGATCCAAATCCAACCTGATTACACATGTTTTGTACATCAAATGAAGTAAGATCTAGGATCCTTGGCACAATAAGGAGTTAAAGATCAATATTTCTACAAATATTTAGGGTTTAGAAGACCTGCTTGGCATCTTGATTTATTAAGAACTTTCTAATTGTCTACAAGGATTTTTAGAATGCTTTTAGTACTTTTTGGCCCTTGTTTACGAGAAATTCATCTATGCATTTGCATTCTTATGTATAATCGCTGTCCTTCATTGCATATTTCTAACCTTATTCCCAATTTAGTTCAAGCTTCTTTTGGTAGTTTAGTTCATGCTTTTTTCTTCAAAAAATGAGGCCTCATGGGACCTAACCCTCATATCTTGAGGCTTACACCTCAAACATTAGAAGATCCTAGAGCGTCACCTCACACCTCTGAGTTAACATTGGAGTGCACTCATTCAAGTTGCAAAATACATGCAATCATCGTGGCACTACAAAGTTACTTTTAAACTCAACAGTTAATTCCAATTTTATGCAAAATAAGTGGACCAAACACCCTTACAAAGAAGTAACAACTCCAGGTAGACAAGTCATTAACAAAGAATGAAAAATCCTTTTCTCTATCATATTATAGCTCAAAACCACAACAAACTTAAGAATATGTTAAGCAGCATATACTGATATACATGGAGTTAAAAAGATCATCATGGCTTAAGGAAGAATAAATTAACTCCAAGTAGAGTAAACAAGCACATGAATTATCTAATATGCATGCACAAACTTAATGTCCAAGTAATAATAACCATTTTGAAAAGTACCTGATTTGCTCTACGCCCTAAACCCATTAAAAAGTTATCAGGCTTTATATCACGGTGAAGAAAGCCCCTTGAATGCATATATTCAACTCTGTTAATCTGTATAAGAGGAAAAAAATAGAACATCAAAAGAGAGTAAAATAAATAGAATAGAGTTAATGCTCATTGACTGTTTTGAGCTTTGACAAAAGAACTAAATAAAAGGGAAGGAGTTAACTTACTAATTGATCAGCAAGCATCAGTACTGTTTTCAGGGAGAACTTCCGATTGCAGTAGTTGAACAAGTCTTCAAGGCTTGGCCCGAGAAGATCAATAACCATTACGTTGTAATCACCTTCAACTCCAAACCATTTGAGGTGGGGAATTCCCGCTTCATACAAATTGAATAAATTTTTATTGATCAATATAAGAGAATAAATCAGAATAAAGTCCAAGTTTAATAGATCAAACAAATTAAACCCATCCACTTTTTTGATAGTTTACAACACAATCTTTTCCATGTGAAAATACTTATAATTATATTCCATAACCATAAATCTTTACCATCGGGGGGGATAGAAACTTACTTCCACCTTGAAGAAGCATATATAACTTTGATTCATAGTGAAGTTGAGGGTGTTTAGTCTTCACAGATTCCTAAAATTAAAATATCAAAGAAACTTTAGGTTGAGAGCTTGAAATTAAAGAAATCATTAACTATGTTACCAGGATAAGGCAAAAGCATGACTGTATACAATATCATATATGAAACTTTAACAAAAAATGAAATATCCAACATGATATGACACCCTTGTAAAGCAGAGGTGGGGGGGTATAGAGCTGCTTGAGCAGTTTTTTTGTAAATCCCTGTGTACAGCTTCTTGTTGCACATGGTTTTTCTTCTTTAATAAATTCATACTTTACCTGTTTCAAAATATAAGATGCTGAAACTGATAGCCAAATGGCCAAGAAAAAAGAAGTTCCATATTCCTCATTCCCTTCATTTAAGGAAAGGAAGGATCATTAAATGTTTTTCATGCCAATGCCAGACAAGGCTGGATGCAGTGCAGTTAAAGCATCACCTAAGCATTGACTAAGAGATCACCTGGGCATTTTGGAGGCCCACTGCCTAGACATCTTAGTTATGCCCCCTTTACATATTGATATGAATGTGTGTTGTGCAACTCATTTTTGGTCAATGAGAACACATATAGAGCTAAAAATTAGGTCTCTTAATCCTTTTTTGTGTATGTTGTTTCCCTTTGAACCAAAGACCTTACTCAAAAATCTTGCCAATAGTTCTGAAAATAAAGCACAAGTAGTTATTCATCGTTTACTGGTTTAATATTTAAAAATTTACATGAAATTCCTAAATACTTATGTATCATCACCATAATCTAAGCCTTGTCCCATCTATATGGGGTTGGCTACATGAATCCTGTTTCAGCATTCCATTCTGTAGAGTGTCATTTTTTTTTATAAAGATAAGGTAAATTTTATTCAAAGAAGCATGAAATGACATTCTATAGAATGTCATATCCATTGTTAAATTATGGGCACTTAAATCATTTCTTATTACTTCCACCCAAGCCCTTTACAGTATGCCCCTAGCTCTTCTAGCCCCTTTAAAGATAACTTTTTTTTCTAACAGGTGCTGTAAATGGTCTTCTATGCACATAGAATCTGCTTTGAATTCAAAACAAAAAAAAAGGTCTTCTATGCACATGATCAAACCATTTAATCTGCTTTCTCTCATTTTATCACCTATTCGAGCTACTCGTAGGTTCCTTCATTGACTTCATTTCAAACCCTTTTCTTCCTAGTTTTACCACTCATCCATATAAGCATTCACATGTACCCTGGTTTACACTTCTATTACTATTAATTTACACTGCATATACTTTGTTTTAGCCCTACTTATTTTAAAATCTCTGGTTTCTGCAGTTGCCCATAAATCTATTTTGGACTTAATTCTTTGTTAGTTTCATCAATTAATACTATGTCTTCAGCAAGTATCAGGTACCATCTAAATAGTAAATACTTATGTATGATTGTATAAATACGCTATGAGATGTGTAATGATTTATTTACATCTTTGTTCCCTTGGGTGAAGCCTAGTTGTTACCTGGTCATCAACTTGCCTTGACAGGCCAAAAGGCCCAAAGCACCTATATGTGCTTGGTTGCCTTAACTGCACTGCCTGGACCTCAGGTGGAACGCTTGCAAGTTATAAGGTGTTATACATAATGTTTTTATTTTCCCTTTCTAAGAGAAAACATCCTTATGGTTTCTTGGATTAACTAAATTTTGTCAGGACCTATGGTACTTAATGATCATGAATGCTGAAAAAACAAAAGCCCATAAAGCTAAAGGGGAGGAGGATAAACCAAAATATATATCAAGGAGATCATATGAAAAAAAAAAAAAAACAAAAAAGAGAAAAGGCATATGACAGAAAGAGAAGGAGGGAGGGAGTTTAGTGTTTGCGTTGCTTATTGCAATTAGCATAAAAAGGGAAGAGGTTAAGAACTTAAGAAACAGGAGAATAGATAAAAATGATTACAATAGTGGAGCAAAACATGGGAGTAAGCTTCCGTGCTCCCTTCACTTTGAGTTAAATACCAAAAAGTTATTCATTCCTTCACAAACAACATATTCACAACGAAGGAAAGGTTTGAACCTGCTTAATCTACCCAATAATTCAAAACAGTTTACTGACTAATATTACAAAAGTGCAATTCACAAATTAAACCATGTCCTACACCACAAATGAAAATCTCCAGAACGAAAGGAATGTCATACCAACTTGATAGCCACTTCCTCTCCGCTTTGAACATTAACCCCTGAATCAAATTGCAGCACCAAAAAATAGGAACTTCTCAGGAAATCGGCGGGAAGAGAAATGCGGAATGCAGAAAAGAAAATTAGAAAAGAGGAGGGAAAAAAAACCACTACCACATAGGAACAGCAAACAGCATACCTAGATAAAGCTCACCGAAAGATCCACTCCCGATCTTCCGCCCAAGCTTAAACTTTCCCCCAATAACATGCTCCATGATACAATCCCGTTAAGCAAGCTCCAACCCAATCGCTTGAATACGATAGTAATCTTACCCTTTCGTTGTTTAGATTCCAATCAAATTCACCATACTAAAACAAATACAACTGATGCCTCACCGATCCGTCTTCAAATCCTCCACCGAAGTCCTTAAATCTCCAAAGAAACTCACAGCTACCAAATTTTACACGCTAATCGATATACACAGAGACCTCCTAGTTCTTCAATAATCCACCGAAAATTCCTTTAAATCCCTCAATCTCCAATTAAAAGATGCACCAGAACCTCGAAAAACAGCGCTTACAAGTTAATCAATCCTCCTCATTGACCAGGAAAATCACAACCCTAAAATCTCCTTCACAATCCAGCAACCCCTGATCTACCACCACCAAAAATGAAACCCCAAATCTACATTACCGGAAGAATCAAACCCTAAATCCCCACTCACAAACGGCGAATAGAAACCCTAATTCTCGAACCATCAACCGACATTGCTGAACCGATCCAATGCGATTGAAGAACAATCCCCCAAAAGGGAATCTCTGATCAAAATATTACAAAAAAGAAATTAACTTTACACCAGAAACCAAAACAAAATGCCGCAAATTCCACGGCAGAAAAGGCAGCAATTCGAATGTTATCCACGGATCTGAAGACGAACAAATTCGAATTTTCGGGAAAAAAATAACGATTTCTCGATAGGTTTTAACAAAATGAATGTTGGGGGATAGAGAGAAAAGAGGGTAGGAAATGATAGAGGAAAAGCTGGAGGAGATTTTTGCCTTTGTTTTCCATTTTCTATTATTTTATTACATTATTATTTCTTTTTATATTTTCTTAATGAAAGAAACTATAATGAGGGGCGAAGCGATACCCTCTCTCAACTTTCTCACCTGCTTTCTCTTTCTCTCCCTCTCTCGCTGCCTAACTCATCTAAATAAAGGGTGAGGTTCCAGCGTGACCGTTCACGCTGGACTAACCGTGTGAACCCTAACGTGTCAAACTTTCATTGGCCAAAATTTAAAAAGTAAATATATTTTCTTAGCGTCTCGGTTTTTGAGCCGATGAGTGGTGAACACGTAGATTGTCACGGTTTATCAGCGTGAGCGTTTTCGCAAGATCGCTACCTCAATGGCTATGATGGGGATGTCAATCGGTCGTGTTTAAAATGGATTTGTTCAACCCGACCCAACTTAAAACCCGGTTATGGCTAACCCGACAGATCCCTAAAAAATGCAGCGGCTTTTGTCTGCTTTGTTTGCTTGCATCTCAAAATGTGCTGATGCAATGGTCTTTGCCTTTATTTGTTTATATAGTTTGGTAACCGAAATGACCTAAATATTGCCAATTTGGGGGGGTGGGTGGTCCAAATTCAGACCCACTCCACCACATGGGGGATTGAAGGTTCCTTGTATGTGTATGTTTCAAGGGATGGATCGATTGGAATTTATTATCCGTGTTGTCTTCTTTAGTCATCCATTTGCAAGCCTTATCTCATTCACATATTCTTTATATGAGCATGGACATGGATGGATGAACCATGTACTCATGGATGGATGTATAGATGGAATGATGATGAAATTGTATGTGTGTGTGTGCATACATCATGGTTACAAGTCATCCATGACTGGACATGGCCGCTTCATACATGGGGGTTAGAGATTCATTGTATGTATATGTTTCACGGGATGGATTGGATTCTCTATCTTTTTATGTCTTCATGCTTAGTCATCCATCTCCATCCCTTTATCTCGTTCACATATTCTTTATATGAGGCATGGATGGATGAAAATGTTTGTGTATGTATGTGCATATATGGTTATAAGACATGGGCATGGGTCATTGATTGGTGTTAAAGGGCAACGGTGGTGGTACTAGTGAGGCCAATATCATTAGATTCAATAGGCATGATGGGCAAAATTGGGACCCAGTTGATGAATCTGAATCCAAGACGCTATCAGCACAACTTCCAACATGACCTATAGTCGCACATCTCAAACATGACTGTCGTCTCAAATTTACATCCCTATCAATGACACCATACAAAAATGAAACATGTTTGAGATGTGCGGCTATAGATCAGGTTGAGAGCTACATTGATAGCATCTTGTCGGCAGCAGATTGAGGCGTTATGGCTAATACAGTTGTTTTGGTTGCTCAATTCTTAAAAATGTTGATGATTTGGTCAAATACGTATGAATTAGATAAATTAGATTTATTTACAGTTTTTTTCATTTTTGATATTAAATTTATTAATAACTATCATGCTTCATAATGTTCACTTTTATACTTAGTTCGATGCAAACTAGCTTCAAAAGATCATATGCAATCAAATTTTCTCGCTTATTATATTTCATTTAGATGAATGGCATGGACCCAGCCACCAAAATGATTTATTTTATAGGTAGTCTGACGACATTGGGTGGAGCTATTTCACTTTTCACGACAAGATGAAAAGTTGCATAGATGATAGAACCCAGCTTTTTTCTGTCATGAATTATTAACTTTCAAACAAATTAGGTTTAAAGGTAAAAGGAAGAACAAATGCATGGTGTTGTATTGTATGAGATAAGCATTGATTGTTGTCGAATGTCCATCAAACGTTTGGTTAAAGTCTAGGTCACCCAACCAATTGTTGGACTTTCGTCCAATAGCCTCGCCTAATCAAGTTAGGTTAAATGGGATTAACAGTTAGAATGCCGCTAAAAGGTGCCACACTAATCTTTATTTGTACTGCAAATCTGAATTGAATATAAATTTTGCACGTGCTTCGGTTTTGTATTTATTAATTTGATGGATGCATTCGATAAGATCAAGGTTCAAATATTTGTCACTTAAGCTTAGTTTGGAAGGAGTACAAATAAGTAGAGTGTAAAACCATGATTTTTAAAATCAAACCGGTCAGGGGTCTGGTTATCGGTTCAAACGATCCAATCGTTTGGGCCCGTTCTAATAAAAAAAAAATTGAAAAACGGTCAAAACCGTTCGAACCGTTCAAACATTTAACCGGCTAGTTGAGCAGTTTGCTGACCAAAAAAAAGCAGTTTTGGGAGAAAATGGGTGACTGGTTCCCGATTTTTCCAGTCCGACCGTCCGGTCCAATCTAGTTTTGAAAACCATGTGTAAAACCTTATACTTTGTATTAATTTGTATGTGTTTGCACTATGTATTTGTACTCTTTCCAAACTAAGCCTTATCAGCAGTGTGTAGGCCTGTAGGGGTGGATTCAAGCCAAGTCGAGCCGAATAGTACGAGGCTTGAGCTCAAGCTTGAGCTCGGTTTGAGATAGAACGTTGAGCTCGAGCTTGGCTCGAGTCAAAAACTCGTAAGCTCGAGCTCAACTTGAGAAAAAATGTTTTATAAAAATAAAAATATTTTTATTATATATATATTTATTATTATTATTATTATTACTATTCGAGCTCGGCTCGCAAGCCTCAAAAGCCGAGATATATTAGGCCCGAGCTTGGCTCGATTATTAAACAAGCCTGTAAATTGGGCTCAAGCTCGACTCATAGCTTGATTGAAATTGAGCCGAGTTGAACTAAAACTAGTGAAGAGCTCGGCTCGTGGCCACCCCTAGCAGTTTGTATTGGGCATATCATAATATATCAAATATCAGCCTCACCCTAATACGTGAAATATCTTGCTAAGACTGCCCCCGCCCTCTAGAAATTAAAAAAAAAAAAACTTCAAAAAAAATGAAGCACTATGTTCAAAGTATCAATATACCCCTTTTGGTGTATCAAGGTGTATATTTTGACCCTTGAGTATAATAGGATTGTAGAAAGTGAGTGAACTGACATAAATATAAATTTGTTCATAAAAGATGCAAACCTACTTTGGTTTTGCGCTCATAATTTTTTAAAGTAACTTGTATGGCTTTGACGGGGCATGAATCTTGATGTTGGAATCAATCAGTCAATCTCCTTGATATTGAGAAATTTTGGGTTCCAAGTTTGCTTACATTTGAATGCAAATTCGCTTTGGTTCTACATTTGCAATCTGACCAAATGCATTGCACTCTACTTATACAAAATTCATACTTTCAGTCTCATTTTGTACTCACTGATAGTACAAAATGCTAAATTCTTTCTTGTATAAAATGGGGAACAATTCATCTTACTTCCTACCACACTCTCAAACAAACTGTCTTGTCCTATTTGCATTCTCCTTTGTAGGAACCACTACATTTTAATTCTCATAAGGCCATGTTTGTTTGAGGTGTAAAATTGAACCGGGGTAAACTTTACACCCTGGTTCGATTTTGCAAGCATTTGGATAGAGTGTATATTTACACCGTAAATCTATGTAAAAATTCATTTTGAAATATTTTTATATCGATAATTGATGTAAAAATAACATCAAAATTATCAATGTAAAACTTACATATTTCTATCATCAAGTAAAATTCCTCTCACTTTAATGTTTCTCTTCTCCATATCTCCATCTACTCTGTCTCAACCTCCACCTTTCTTATGGTTTCTCTCTCATCGGCTATAGGCTAAAGCCTATTCAGACTATATTTGGACAAGAATGCCGTAGTCCAAATTCAAATAACTTGGGATCCGTTGGATCAGGATTGTTGCATCATATAGAACTGTTGCTAAGTACATACTGGTGTATGGTTGGAAATTTACACTAACGTGTATTCCAAATTCCGATAAAAAAAAATCATCAAAATTTACACCTTGACAACCAAACATGATTGGTGTAAATATTCAAAACGCAACGGTTCCAATTTCCATTCATCATTGAACCGGTTCATATTTTCTATAGGTGTAAAATTGAATTTACACCTAAAACAAACATAGCCTAAACAATTAAGATAGTCAAATATGAGGAAAGTAAAAAATGAATTTACACTCAATCTACTTGCCCTCCCAAGCATTTACATCAGTGTAAATGAAAAGAGTCTACGCCTTAGAGCATAGCTTTTGCAATGTGATTCCAATATAAGAGTTCACTTTGTTTAAGGGAATATAGATCTGGAATCAAAATAAGGGCCTATTAGTTTGTTCTAAAGTCAGACATCTGAAAGTGCAATAATTACATTAAGAGGTATATTGGTATTGGTGAATTTTTCTTTCCTTTAAACTTTGAATGCAAAGAGTGTTGTTTTGAATTTTAAAAATGATCAAATATCCATTTTGACCCCATATATGAGAGTTTTTGCTTGTTTTTTATGGAGTATCATTGAAAAACAAAAACTTGTATGATTGCACTTTAAGAAATAAGAGATAAGAGATAAGAGGAAACGAACAACTATTTTTCTCTTAAAGTTAAAAGATTCATCTTAAAAGATAAGAGTTAAGAGGAAACGAACAAACCCTAAGGATCCCATTCTCATTATTGGTGGAATGGCATTTCCCCATTTAAGGGAATGGTCATTCTATCCCCCTCCCATGTGAATGAGAATCCATTCCAATCAATTATGATTCCGACTATGAACTAATTAGACCTCGAGATTTTTCATATCGTGACTATTATTTAAACCTTGACTCTTGGATCGTTGGAATGAACATTAAGCCCTTGATTGAAGTAAACTGACTTATTTCTTGATTTGAAAACATTATTTGAACCACTACTGCTTGGTTCATCCAATTTGCTCTCGTTGGCTCTTAACTTCTTATATCAGAGGTATTAGAGCTACTAATGTTTTATATCTCCTTTACCTGAGAAAAACAAATGTTTTTAAAATCGACACAAAACAAAACCATTTTCCTGTCCAAATGGTAGTTAATGGTTTATCAGCTTTGATTTCATAATTAAATAAAAAATATATAAAAATGCAAAACACATATCTCTAAAACTATATATCATCAC